ATTTTCATTATTTTTATTATTATCAAAATCATTATCATCATCATCATCACCATTATTATTATTATTACTTTTATTGCCATTTCTGGATAGGAGAACTAAAAGTTAAAACATGAGAAGACAGCAGCTCACTCACCTGTTTCGTTATCCGAGGCCCTGACCCTGGCCACCGCGAGGTCTGCCGGTGCCTGCTGGTACACCCGGGCTGGGTAGGGGGACACGTACATGTCCACGTAACCTGGGGAGACGAGAACCGATAGTTTTTTGTTTTGTTTGTTTGTTTGTTTTATGTTTTTACAAGAGTTTAATCCTATCCGTTCGCCGTGTTTTACTATCGTATCCGTAAGACGTGGGGAACTCTGTGTCACTATTTTGCAAAGAGGAAATTTACTCTTTAATCCGATCCGTACGCTTTGCATAGCAGTCTGTCAAAATAATTTTTTTGAGAAATACTGAAAGCTTCAAAGAGATCTTCGTACTAGAAGTATTCTAAAATGTGAAAAATACAACGCCGGGGGGTACAAAACTACCCCAGGGCGTATGGATAGGGTTAACGGAACTTGCAACACAATTAAGTAACAAAGTTATAAGTGTTTTACACCCCCGCCGATAAAATATAGATTATTCAGGAGGCGGGCTGAGAGGCGACATCTAGCCAACCCGATCGAAGAGGGATATTGCAACGTCCCAACAGAAAAATCGAGATATTCGGTAAAAATGTTCTCCCTACCCAAACATCGAACTGGGGTTAATTTTCTGCTTCAGCCCGCGTTGAAAGGGAAATAACACCCCAGCAGAAAGATGGAGATACTCGACAGAAAATGTTTGCCCTTCGAATATCAAACTTCGGTCATCGGCGTGCAAAGCAAGGCGAAGTGCCTAACAGTTGTATCGAAGACACCGGTCCTTCCTTCTTCCTTCATTCTTGAGCTCTTGATTATATATTTTAAAAACATGAAGTGTTCCACCTTCAAAACGACGTATATAAATTACATGTATGTAACTCATTCAAAAACGAGCAATAAATAAATATAAATAAATAAATAAATAAATGATATCCGATTGGAAACAAGACAGCTAGTAACAAAATGGTAACAGGCTACGAAACCATCTCATAATAATAAGAAACACCAACGCTCACTAGCAATTGAAGAAGATCATGGGCATATTAGAATGATAATAATATTAAGCTGGCCGATAAGAAAACAGTTAATGAGACGGCTGTTCATCAATTGTTTATTTCAGCATGCATCCCATGAGCTTGCCCGTACAAGAGCGACATTTGAGAGACGAGACCCTGCGCATGCGAAGACCATGTCCTATAAAGACTGCATTCGTCTGATGGATATTAGCCTTTAACACCCTTTTCAACATTCTGATATGGCAGACAGACGATTAGCATGAATAACTAATAATTGTTGACCGAAGAAAACGTATTAACACATAACATATGACCCTGGCCTACAGCAAAGCAGACCCCCTGGGGTCCTTTCGGAAGACCACTTCTTTTCCTAATGTCTATCAACCGTGGAAGAATTTTTTAAAACAAAGCTTAAATGTATTTTGATACGACAGTTTCTAAAAAAAAGGACACAAAAATAAATCTGGAAGTGGCCGAAATATGGTTTCTACTATAGGGATTGCTGAAACTCGCATGGACTGAGAGCAAAGCACACAAAAGTACACCAAATGACAGGATATGAAATTCTCTTATCAAAACCATTAGGAAGAGACAACTGAGATTCTTCCGCCACATAAATACAAGTAGAATCACTGGACTTTAGAAATCAATACTTTGTTGAAAAATGTAGAGGCAAAAAAACAGATGATGAAAGAGAACAATATTTAATTTTCTGAACACAATTAATGGTCAGAACAGCTTTGTGACAAACAACACAATCAGAACAAAAAACTGAGCTGACAGGAGGATTGATAACAGGAAGGAATGGGGTTCCATAACAAGACTCCTGAAGACGGACAGCGTTTAATCAGCTGCTTGCACTGTATGTTTCCCGGGAAGCTAAGTATGTGGCTGAGTGTTCTATGGTCTGCTGGGAGTAATAATATAGTGTAAAGCGCTAAGAGTTTGCTATCGAGAGGAAATATGCGCTATACAAATGTCATTTTTTATTATTATTAT